AATCTTGTGATATTAATACATTTTGGTCAACATGTTTATATGAAAAGTATCTTATAAAGAATAATTTGCTTCATTTTTGATAGGGTCTATCCAGTATCCAGTCAGTTATAAGAACAGTCCATGAACTTATCTCATGATAAACTGGATAGACCAAATTGAAAATGAAACTGATCTTATAACACACTGGATAGACCATATGAAGTCGCCAATAGACAACTTGCATGTTAGACTAATTTTTGATTTAGGCAAAAAAAGTAAATTCCCGTAAAGAACTTATTAAAATCAGTAAAATTGCAAAATTTGGTTGCGAAATGTTGTAAAATACAGAAAATATAGCCTTGCGAAGTTTGCATATTTTCAGTATGTTTATATTACGTGCGGAAATTGTTACAATTTTTGAGCCGAAAATGGTAACAATGTCCGCACGTAATACAAACATACTGAAAATATGCAAACTTCGCAAGGCTATATATATTTTCTGTATTTTACAATATTTCGCAACCAAATTTTGCAAGTTTACTAATTTCATTATGTTCTTTTTAACTGTCGTGTTTGATTCCCTTCCAGTCTTTACTAAGTAAAGATTAATTAAAATTTAGTCTAACATGCAAGTTGTCCATTCGAGAGTCTATAGCTGTCCAGTAATACTCATCTGATTCCAGATTTTTGGAACGCCTTCATCAAATTCATCTACCACCTAAATTGGTATTTCAGAAGGGCTGCCTGCATGATATGACAGGGGTCATGCTATATAAGAAAAATTGACTTCGTCTGTTTAGTCACGCTTTTTGGTCCTGCATCGATAGGGAGTATGAGCGATGCTCCCCTGAGAAATTTTAAATATTATAGTATTCCAGAGCCATTTTCTGTGTTTTCAAAGCACGTAAAGTGCTTTTGATTTAACTCTCTCTCTCTTATATATATGAATAATAAGTTGCTTAAATCAGTAATTTAATACCCATGCCTATCGACTGCTCAGTGACGTTTGGAGTTTGTCAATTCAGTCTACATTTCCTACAAGGTTCAAAACTCAATTTTTTGAACTGTTCCGTTTTACCTTTCAGAACTATACACGTGAACATCTCACAGGTTGTCACGACAAGATGTGTTCGCACTATACTTGTTCCCAGTTGTTGGCAAGTCTGGAACAAGTTGTTATCATCTTGTAACAAGGCTGACGAGGCCAATAGACTCGCCACAAGTTGTTTCAACAAGTCTGATATCGCCTGCATGTAACAAGTTAATGCATGACAACAAACTCGTAGCAACTTGTTACGAACAAGCTGTACTGGTCTTGTTGGAACAACTTAATTTGTAGCAAGTCTGTTATACGGTCATTATAACTTTGTAACAAGGTGAATATACTACTTGTTCCAGACTGACTTGTCAAAACAACTTGGAACCGACAAGCAGTGCGAACTCATCCTGATGTCGGCTTGAACAACAACCTTGTTACAGCTTGTTTGCGCGTTTTTAAGGCTGATTCCACGACGGCTAAATTCTTCGCGAGAAATTGTGCCTCATGCGAAATACGGATGATTGCACATGAGCGATTCTATTGAATTGTCTCACTTTTTAGGCTTTCGCAGTGAATAGAACTGACTTCTACTCACTTTTACTCACTTGTGAAGCGAAATTCATGTTTACTGCGCATGCACCTTATTCATTTCGCGCGAAATTTTTCGCATTTCGCCGAAGAACTGAAGCGCCCGTGGAATCAGACCTTTACGTGTGTAGAAGCGTCCTTCTCACATACAATTGAGGCACCTCCTCCCTAAAGATCATTGGTTTAATAATTAAAATCCTTGCTAATTTGAAGTTTTAATCAGTGCTCTAAATTGCAATATTTTAAAGCAAAAACTGCTATTCTGACCCGCTAACATTGTGGGCAACGACTCCCCAAGCTTATTACACCGCTATACAGCCTATATATAATTAAAGAATGATTAAAGCCTAATATCCAATCAAAGTTTTAATCAAACAGTATTGACATCAGGTGTTTTTAGTCCTCCTACGAATATATTTATTAGAATTTAGTCTGACATTTGAAAAGTACACACGGTGCAATTCTCACGTTTCAATGTTCAATTAAGGCTCATTAACTTATGACGGCAAATTTAACCTGAAAGACCGTCGGTCAATGACAGCCAATAAGACTAAGTATTCGTCATAGTATGAAATACTGCATCCTCAAGAGTTCCAGTCATCCAGCATAGTGTCATCAAAAATTTGAATAAATTCCCGTATTTTTTTCGTTTTAGGAACTCATTTTTTTCCGGGCAAAAGAGTTGTAAGAATGTCTAGTGAAACTATATCATGCATAGATTTAAGTTTTGTTATTATTTAGTGTAGTTTTAAAATATTTCGAGAAAATTTCGATTGTCTTAGGGTATAGCGATGTATAATTGGATTTTCTTGCTAATCTTAGGATTAATTATAACTATTTATAAGGAGTGGCGTCGCGGTCGTAAGCAAGAATCCAGAACTGCAGCATTGCATTGTCATCTAGATATTTATTACGTTTTCGCCATACTAAACAAGCCAGGCACAGTTTTGACTAAAGTAGTCAAAAAATTGACACGCCTAATAGCCATTATATAGGCTTCCTATGATTCTAGCAAACCACAGAGTCATCGTTATAACCCTAGTTTCATTGCACTCGGATTCCGTCATTACAATAAAAAACGAAGCCTGTATAGTAAGTAGTACATGCTTTGTAAATAGAGCTTTTTAAAAAGTCTGCCTTGCGACGTAGTTTGTGAATCGATAAAGGAAAACCCCGCACAGCCATTTGGCTTGCCTGATTGCCCAAATGATCGTATTTATCCGCAGACTACGTCACAAGGCAGACTTTTTAAAAAGGTCTGTTGTAAGCAGGGACGTCGCTACAGAGGGGGGGGGGGGGTAACACCCCCCTCCCAATAATTCAAAACGGTCAAAGTTGGTCAAAATGGAACTAATATTTGCTTAAAATTGAAAGTCAAAGTTGGTAAAATTTGGTCAAAGTTTGAGATAAAAGATGGTCAAAGTTGTGAAATCGTTCGCAATTTTAATTAACAATTTCTAAGCTTTGGTCATGTTTGCGCGGAACTTAACAATTGCAACCCTTGCTTATTTTGGTCGAAAAATATTTGAAGCTTTGCTTATGTTGGTCCGGAAAATTTTTTGACAACCTCCACCCCGTCGACAACATTTCTACTACTAGGTCAAAATTCTAGGAAAAGTTGGTCAAAACATGACGACCCCCCCCCAATGTTGCAGAAAATGTCTTTTTACGGAAATGCAATGGATACTATCAAAAATTTAAATCTAAATGAAGAAATCCTTAATTTAGAAGATATTAAAACTATTACCAAAACCCTTGAGGAAAAATACTTAACATTTTGGAAACATAAACTTGAAAATTCATCCAAACTGACTTTCTACTCAACATTCAAAACGGACCACAACCTGGATGAAACTACCTAGTATTTATAAAAGATCCATACAAAAGTAAATGTCTTTCAAGACTTAGAGTCAGCAACCATAACCTCCAAATTGAGATCGGGCGCTATCAAAATATACCCCGTGAAGAACGCTTATGTAAAATCTGCAATTCAGGAGAGGTGGAAAATGAAACCCATCTCCTCCTCTCTTGCAAAGCCTATGAGCAATCTCGTGCAAACCTTCGAAGTTTATTAGAGAATGCTTCATCTGACGAGATTAATCTAAACTCTCAAACTCTATCAGCGGACCTAATGAAGTCAACTGATAGTGAAATCATAACCAAACTTTCAAAATTTGTTTATTCATGTTTCAAGCAAAGACTTAAATACCTTGAAACCAGGAATGCGGATTAGCAAAGGTTGTAATAACCACCTTGTTTGTAAATAGCATACTTGTCTTCTTTCTTTCCTCTTAATTCTTCTTAATATTGTATTAGTCTGTTATAAATCATTCCAGAAATAATAATCTGTAATAGTCCTAGTTTATCATAGTTTCTTCTATATATTGTTTGTAATGCTTTAGCAATACTGTAAATTTATGGTCATGCTAATAAAGCTATTAATTACCTTACGTCCTTGGTTGTAAGGTTTTTATGATCGACTCATCGCCAACTAGTTTTTTGAATAACAATCATTTTCAAATGTATTGGGACAGATGCCCCAACTACAGTCTTATTTTGAAAAACTTCTTCCCCCCCCTCAATGTTACATGGGTCTCAGTTAGCATCTTACATTGGTGTGTGATCGGGTAAAAATCATTGAACGGGGAGGAGGAGGGAGACCCAAATGTTGTAATAATATGCAAATGTCCACTGACACATGCATGGTCTAAAACCGCAAGTGCCAAAAACAACTTTTGAAAATTATTGAAGTATTATGGGGCGAACGGATGGATTAACGGCTTATCAGTTATCATGAAACGTTACTTAAATCATAAAATCGTTTTATCCTTGTCCGCGGTTTAAAAACAACTTAGTCGTGCTCGTGATAAGCGCTCTTAAATTATTTGAAATGGAGTGCGGATATGACTTCTAAGCGCACAACAAGTGTTATTTCTAAACCATATGCTTGTATGACTGAAAAGGATATAAGGCGGATATGAGATTTCCCCCCAAGTTTTATTAGGGCGTTTAAGCATGATGAAGGCCGACCAAAGTAGGTAGGATGGCGCTTGACGTCATATGGAACACAAGAATAATTAAAACCATAGTGGAGTGTCCACGGCTGTGTTTACAACACGAAAATACATACGCCTCTTTCTCCCCCGCAGTGGCTTATGTATATTTATACAGCCAATTCATTAAATTAAGGTTGTTCTTCAAAAATCTGGATCCTAAGGCTAAGATTGGACATTAGCTTAGTGAACCAAAAATCCCTGCATCGAAATTAAGTGAGTGTATATATGCCCTAACATTGTTGAAAAGCAAATTTCACAAGTTTATGACTCTATATAGGAAATTACCCATCATCCCTTGGGCGCTCAATGTCTAAGGATTGACATTTATAGAGCGCAACCTTTTTTGAAAGAGAAAATGTTCTCGAGTATATATTATAGGTTTAGAACTGACATAGCTACTCAGTACAAATAAAGTTGCCATCTAGTTTTGTATATGTTTCATAAGATAAGATAAAACAAGATAACTCTATAATTGCGGTTGAACATACATTATACCATATTTCTATGGAATAATTATAGCTATAATTTACTTGACATATAAACAAAAACTATACCTGCAGCTTGCAGCTTGCATGGTTATACATTACAATTCACTAATTATACAGCGCAATTTACAGTTTTACATCATACCTTGTATACTTTGATTTTTATTTTACAACTAGCAATTTGGAAATTGAGGTCTACTTGAGACATCGAACTTTTCATGTTTTAATACACCTACACCCTATAAAAACACTGTGGTTATAATTTCCTGCATGTTAACGTAGGAATAACACTATTTGGGTTAACTCAATATTCATGGTTAAATTTCCTTATTTAACCAGGCATCTGGTTATAATATTTGATCATGTAGGACGTCCTTGCTAAAATAACCAGCCTATAAATGGATATATAACCAGAGCCCCCAGTTATTTATCCACCTATATAGTAGACTTGCTCCAAGTCTCTCTTTCATTGTTATATCGATCCACTATAGTGTACATTACATGACGTAGCACGGAGAGGCGGAGCGAGAAAGAGAGACTTGTCAACTTCGGAAAATCTCGGTTCAAAACTGAACCGAAAATGCAAGACTTGCTTTAATTGTTTTCCTTCAATTTCTTTCTGTATTATTTACTATAATGGAACTCATGTTATTTACACTGTGCTACATCAATACATATAAACACTGACAGAAAACAATTGAAGCAAGTCTTGCATTTTCGGTTCAGTTTTGAACCGAGATTTTCCGAAGTTGACAAGTCTCTCTTTCTCGCTCCGCCCCTCCGTACTACGTCATGTAATGTACACTACAGTGGATCGATACTATATGACAATGAAAGAGAGACTTGGAGCAAGTCTACCTATATAGTATAGTCTGGTTAATTTGACCAGGAAGTCCCGGTCAAATTAACCAGACTAAAATAAGGAAAAGGTTAAAATAAGCAGGAAATTTAGCCAGGAATATTAATAGGTTTCTTACATGTCAGGAAGAGTCAAATTCGAGAAATTTTCACTAAAGCTGGAGTTTCACGAGCAACAAAATTGCTGCAACTTGCAACAAAATTTGATTTCAACGCATGTTAAGTAGAAATGTCGTCACATGTTGCCTTGTGATTTGTAATTTATGTTTAAACATTTTCAATTAACATGCGTTGAAATCAGATTTTGTTGCAAGTTGCAGCAATTTTGTTGCTCGTGAAACTCCAGCTTAAGGGACCGGTCATTATTTATGGTGGGGGGTGGCACCGAAGAGAAAAGGGTTGGGTAAACTAAATTTTGAGTAACAAAAGGTTGGGTAAATGAAAAACAAAACAACTCAAGGGTTGGGTAATAAAAAGTTATTGTCATTTCCAAAGCATGACTCACTCAAATATTGAAGACTAAAAAGCAATGTGAACAGTCGTATGCCAATACAATATGTGAATCAAATCAGAGTCACTATCATCATTTTCCGATTTGTTGGGAGACAAATGGTGTCTCCAAAGAAAGTACATGTACATACAACATGAAAGTTTAGTTGTCAAACTTGTGTCACAGAAGTGGTAAAGGACATGTGTGACAACTGAATGGTATTCTTTTGTAAAGGTTTTGGCCAGGGGTGGGTATTTATTTTTTAATTGATATTTGAGGTTGTGTAATCAATTTTTTTGCTTTTAAATGGTTGGGTCAGCAAAATGTTTACCAGAAAAAACATTTCTCTTCGGTGCCACCCCCCACCATAAATAATGACCGGTCCCTAAGGACATACAGTATATCAGGAAATTCAAGGATTATACAAAAGGGCTTCAGCCCGTTAAAAATCAGTAAAAAAGTGACATTGAATTATTCAAAACGCAACTTCAATTGATTTCAAACAGCTTTGTCAGATATGAACATGCAAAATCAATTCAACGAAATGTCTGTTTTTGAATGTCAAATTTCAGAAAATACCCAGAAACTAAATCAAGAAGAATTCAAAGACTTTCAAGTATATACTTCTTTACATGAATTCAAGGACATTCAAGGCCTTGAATTTTTGTTTTCAAATTCAATGACTTTCAAGGACTTGAAAGTTTTGTACAAAACCAGAGTGTCTTTATAATGTATAATGAAAATAAGCTCAAACAATGACTGGGCAGTTTAAATCGGGTTCGGTACATGATAAGAGCGAAATTTAAACTAGACCTGACTAACTAAAATTTAAGTCAATCATTACCCCATATTTGTATACTACTAAATATATAAATACAAATGTTGTCTATAGGTTTCATTCAAAATTTAGAATTTGACAAATATTGATTTGTCAAATTGTCTTTTGTTAATTTTTCAACAATTTTGAAATATTACTCGACGTCTTCGAAAAACACAATCCTGCATTTTTTAGGGTAAAGACCTACCTAAAATGATCATGTTTTGTGATTGGCTTTCAGAAAGAAATCAAAACAAAAATGACATTTCACACTATACTCTACATAGTTTTGCATGTTTACAATTCTAATTTTAAACAGCCAACCAGGTTCTTGCTAACAATTACAATTAAACGTCGATTGGCTGTTTAAAATTAGAATTGTAAACATGCAAAAATATGTAAGCGCGGTCGTAGACGTTTGTGGGAGTGGTCGATATACGAATTTTTTATGCCATTCCACAGTTCGGTGACTTTCGTAATAATCAACCAACCACGAGCCTGGATAGTATAGGTAGATGATGACCCATTTCTTAACTCAATCATGCATTTTTTAACGAATTCGTAACCATGCTAACACCAATGATTATAATTCAGAGTTCACTATGTCCCAAAAATACGTTTACTCATAATAATTATTCCGATATAATTCAAAATTTTCGGCTAATGAATAGACAAAAAGTCTAACTTTTATCTGCTCAGTGAAAACACATTAAGAAAAATAATAATTTTACATGCACAGCCATTTTGAATTTTTAAATTTTGCTCGATCAATCGAAATAGAAAATACAATTCTGAAAGAAATGTCAAGCAAATCTCCAAAAGGCAAGGGATTATGCATCGTAACAACTTATGGAATACTACAATTATACTAAAAAGGCATGCATTGAACTATTTTATTTCGGTTGTCAGTTATCAGCTCGTCAAAGATATGTATATTATAGTAAAACGTGTACTGACGATTTTTGTGATTTTTTTAAAGTTTTTAAATGTACCCCAGACTTAGCCTGATAACAGACCTACGTTTCGCCCGCCCTAAAATTCGCGGGTCGACGAAGGGCGAAACGTAGGTCTGTTATCAGGCTACCCCAGACTGTAAAGTTTTGGCTTGGGAGGAAACGTTTTCGGCTGCGCAAGAAAATTCTTGCAATTATGGCAATATGCGCATTTCAAATTGTAAAAAACTGCAAATAATTTCCGATCTATCTGCATGCATAAAATGCTTTTGTGAACCAAGAACCAATTGGTCTTCCTATTTGACAAAAGCACTTTCTGACTGCAGGATCCCTTGGTCTGCCATAAATGTTCTGTGAAAGTATCAGCCAACATTTTTTTAGCATTTTGCCCCAGAAAAAAAATTTCCTGCGCAAAGTAAAACTTTTCAGTCTGGAATGTACCCCTGACGGAATAAATTGGCATAAAATTTCTTACCCCTGAAGAATACCCTTAATTAATAAGAGTAGCCTTATGAATGTGCTTCTATCAAGTTTCTGTATTGTTGTTCCCAGTCTCCGGCTGATCTGGAACCATTGTGCTGTACGTCGTTCTCTGGGGACTTCTCGAGGTGGATGTCGTCGCCATGCTGTGATTCATATCATCTTGCTGCATTCTCTGCGGGCAGCGCAAAAACTTGAGGAACGCCGACCGGAAATTTGAGTTAAACACAGCGTAAATTATAGGATTTATGCAGCTGTTCAGGGGGGGTAGAATCCTCAAAAAAATGTAGAAGATAGCTTTTTGAAGTTCCGGGTAATTCACTCTGAAATTATTGGTGTAATCCTTATCCCATAAGGAAAGCATGAGTAGAATAAAGACTGGTAGCCATGATATCACAAACGCACCGATTACCAAAGCGACTGTTTTGGTTGCTTTAACTTCGCGGAAGAAATTAGTCTTCTTTCGTCTGTCTCTATTCAGATCCAATGCGGCCACTGCTTTCGCTTGTGTGATAGCAACTTTTAGGATAACCGAATAAGCGGTCAAGACGATTAACAGTGGTACAAAGAAGGCCAGTGCTGCAGCAACCGTGTAGTATATAGGCTCAGTTCTTTGACATGCGATGGGCTGGCCGTTGAAAGAAACGGCAATAGCTGGCTTGTCCGAATCTTGCCAATTCAGCAAACAGAGGCATCCCCATGCAAGGGAATAAACCCATATCGCCCCCAATACTATAAACGCACGATTGCGTGTGACGAGTTCACGATATCTGAACGGCGACGTGATCGCAATGAAGCGATCTAGTGATATAGCTGCGAGGTTGCAGATTGACGCCGCGCTACACATGCTATCCACGGCCAGCCAGACACCACAGGAGGATAAGCTTAAGCACCATATTCCGTTATTTAGGTTCGTGTTGATAGTCAGGGGAAGCGTTAGAGCTGCGATGAGTAGATCTGCGACAGCTAATGATACGATGAAATAATTGGTCACTTGTTGAAGTCTCTGGTAGGCAATAACGACTGCGATCACAAGTAAATTACCCGCAACAGTCAAGACTAAAATCACAACCAGATAAACAGTCATTATAATGTTTTCTGTTTCGGGCGGATCATCACAGCTTGGATAGTTCATGCTTGATACGTTGTTTATGCCGGTTGGATTCGAAGCATTCATTTTGAGAATGGTTTGTTTTGGTTTCCTCACTGGGTTGGTAGATCAATCGAGCAGCCAGTTGGACGGTACACCTGAGTATAAAATTTTCAATAAGTTTGGTTTTGTTTTTCAGTGACTGTGTTTAAAATTCAATCAAGACAAGCACTTTGTGTTCGACTATCAGTTTATGGAATCAGCCGATATTAGTCCTGTAAACAAATCAAGTCGGCTAAGCGGATTTTTGTTCACCACGAATCGCTGATAAAGAACTAATGTTTCGTCTAGTTTCTCAACCAGAAAGTGCTTCTTTTGTCTTTTACAGTAAAACAGAGTAACAAATTAGAATAATGGGTGGCTAAAATTGTGACACTGGTTCCCTTTTATCTCTTCCGAAATTAGTTTGCTTTTTGTAATTCTGCTTGGGTCCTTTCAGAGTTAATAAACAATGTCACATACTCGCCAGGCTTTTGATCCTTTCCAAAGCAGGGCACGGTTTATTAATTTCGCTCTTAAAATCTGTGCTATATAATACTCCTGTTTTCCTGATTCAATTTTTAATAACACGTTACTACGCCTTGCCCGCTTTGCTTAATGTAACAAATCGAATCTTTGTAAATAGTTCAGTCTGTGTCACTGTGAGTTCTAATGAGCACAACAAAGTTCTCCCTCGCCAAAAATTGCTCAACAACAAATGCCAGACGTCCGCTTCTAATAAATAGCTTCAAATCGCTGACAAATTCGCACTGTTTGTTTATAAATGCAAGTAATATATCTGTACAGCTTTAGCCAATCTTGTCGGTATATATGAAATAATAAATCATAAATGTTCTAATCGAGTCCGTCCATCACAGAATGCCGATTTAAAAATGTACTCTTCGTTCCGATTTTTTTCTTTTAAAGACCGTAACTTGTAACCGTATCGCCTACAATACAGACTTTCAACAAGTCAGTGCTAAATGTCATGATGAATTGGCGACTCTTTCCGCAAATAAAAACTGCTTGACGGCTTTCCAAATTCAGTAAACACGGCAAAAATGAATCTATTATACGGCCGAACACAATTTCTCGCAATTAACACCACAATGACGGATACAAATTACAAATCACTGTTCAACATTTGAAAAAAGATACAAGTCGACTTACCCACAATATCGGCGTAGTATGTCCAACAGTTTTCGGTAAATTCACGATTTTTTAATTACGCAGTCAGATCTGTCGGCGCTGTTTAGTGAAAGAGCTCGAGCAAATCTGCCCTTTCGTCGCTTCATTAACATGGAACAAATACTTGAGAATCCATAGCAACTCCAGAATTTGTTAGTGCGGAGCAAAACCCCGTAAATTTCGGCCACTGAAGCGCAAACAGGCCACCAACAGATAAGCCCGCGTAATCTGCGAGCCTTTCAAATAAATGTGTCGAAAGATTAGCGCTTCCAAAACAATTTGTCGCCGAGGTGCGAAAATTCGAGGGAGCTTCTTCCAGAACGAGTGGTCGTGTTGAATGCTTGTCGTTGTTTGCCAGCATCAATTATTATGCTCGTTTGATATGCAATAAAACGAGATTGATTGAAAGCTCGCCGTCGCTTAATGTGTACACAACCAAAGAACATTCAGCTCTAATTACTTTCCGATTTGACACCCACGACCTGTCGCAAGATTTTTCAACGCTCGACGAAATCGTCGCAAAAATGTTACAATTTTGAAAATAAGAATAAACACTCTTCATATACCGAACACGCGCTAACAGAATCAACTTTAGTTAAACACTGAGCATATTTGAGTAAAAAACACCGCCGATACTGATTCAATTCGTTCAAAACAATAGCGCTAAATTGCCGTCGTGGTTGCTAGGCTCGTGCTGATGCGATTTTCAAAATTTCGACACGCGCAAAACGTAACGTAGTTCTTGATTTCCTTTTGACAGAAATGCAAGCAAATTATGCTTCTAATGAGAGAGAGTTTAGCAAACATACACCGAACTTGTGATATGCACTACAGGAGAGAAATTGCGGGTTTTACTTTTCAGTTTCGACGCAATTTCGGCGCGATCAAGCGCTGTATGGACAAGTGTGTTTAAGTAAGAAAGACAGCAATACAATAGGATAATCTTATCGCGTATCTATTGGATAACAAAGCCGCAGTAAGCTTAAATGATTACACGCATTAGGCAATGAATTATAAGAAAGCAACACTGGCAGGGGGCATTTTGTATATATGATAGCGGAAATACACGTTTGTACGATAGGGCCGACAGGCTAGAAGACGTTTATAGTATATACATCAAAATTGTTACATGACATGCATTCCCGTTAAAGGATTACACATTTTTAACTGAGGATTGAAAAAGCAATGTCCAATGTCTGTGTATATTTATGCCCACTTGAACAGTTAAACTTATTAAATCTAACTTTTTTTACACCGGATACTAGCGATATTCGACTAGTTATGTGATGTCTGTTTTCCAGAAAGGGGCATTCCTTACTAATCCAGTGTTACTATTGGAGGAAACCTAAATTAAACTAACTTTATATATTCATCCTTGATATCTCAATCAGTTCTAAACTGATCACCCTAGAGGTCCAGTAAGTATCGCTTTTTAATTATTATTACAGGAAGAAACTCCAACTAACTTTATTAATACTGGATAGCTGCAACAGTTTTGAACTGTTCTCCCAATAGGATCTCCAAGGGCATTATTTCTGTCTATATATATACTGTTACTTGAAAAATATATCAGAAAGGTATCAAAATTCTCCTAGAGTTTGTGATACTTCGATTTTATTTCAAAATCAACATCAGACTAACAGTTTCAAGATGCTACTAATCTCCGGATTGTATTTCGTTTTATATTTCTAAAACTGATCATGATCGCAAACCGATTCAATACAACTGTGTCTGTGCCATAATTTTATCAACATGTGACTATACACTCGGCTTAAACAGGATTTAAACAGTGCCAGTGATTAATTTTAAGCAATCTTGTAGTACGTTGTATTGTCCAAAACATTGGCTACAGACACTTTGGGCTATCATGTACAAGTTGGAGTAGGTGTCAGTTTCAAGCACTCATACGAGACTTTAACACAAAAGCATATGAGGACAAGTAACGACTAGATTCTTTTGTGTATTAAAAAGCATGTGCACTGAACTGTGGCATGATGAAAGCCGCCTACATACATGGGCATATGTAATTTAGCCAATATCCAGAGCATTCATTAATTTAGCCAATAGCCAGAGCATTGTGCGAATTAGCCATCAATTCATGAGCGCGCAAAACAAAATTACGTAAATACTTGCCACTGCAGTGTATATAAAGCATAAAGGTTTTTGAAGATGGATAAGTTTCGAGCAGAAGATTTATATACAATTTTCAGACCTGACCATGGAGCAGGGAATCGAACCTGGGATTCCACTTCAGCGCTCTGACCAACTGAGCTACAGAGTCCAGTTGTCGAGCTATACAACAACACGTTCTTGTGTATGTGTATATTGGTTCACAGAATGCAGCTAAGCCTAAAGAGTACTCGTCTACTCGATATCATATAGATAGAGCAGAAATGGTCGTTTTACCTCAAAAGATTGCCACAACAGCATGATTCCTCTTGGATGAAATATACAAGGTGTCCCAAAAAACCCAAAACTATGCAATATGAAGTTATATTGTCTGATTATATTCGCATCCGAGTTGCAGGCATATATGAGAAGAATGCTTTCAGTTTGACTCCACTCAAGAGTCCAAGGGCAAGGTGCGTTAATTTACGTACTTTACTTACATACCAGCTATCAGATGTACGCCATTGCTTCGGTCGAATGTAGTTATACAGGGTGTATAAAAAATACGCAACCTCAGAATTTCCCAAGAAATCGACATGGTTTTAAAGACAAAAGATTTTAGGCGCCTGGGAATTTAAAATGTCAAAATTATTGCACACGCGAGTGCATAAAGCAAAATTTATGCATTTATATTAATGCACAACAACAGTAATAAGATCTATTAGCAATTCGATTTCAATTCCCAGGGGCCTAAAATCTTTTATGCTTAAGAATTGCAAAGTGATTTCCTAGGAAATTCCAAGGTTGCGTTTTTTTTTATACACCCTGTATGGCAATCCAGTATACTGTATAGGTAATAGAGCGCTTTATCATGCATTTAAGGCTAGTTTCCACTCAGGAAAATTATCCGTGGATTGGAACGGCAAAGAAAAGTTTTCTTTGTGTTAAAGTCATTATAGTTCCAACCCCAGAAGCTCACAAGACAAAGAAAAATTTTCTTGTGAGTGGAAACTAGCCCTTAACACGGCCAGACCGGTCAAATTGTTGAATGGAACACAAAACATTTGGGCTTCGGACCTATCTGACCGGAAAATTTAGATAACATTAGAATGAGGTCCATTTTCGCTAGATATTTGAGAAAAAAGAATTCTGGTCTGACCGGTCAGGCCATTAAATGGAAAGCGCCCTAGATGACAAAAAGGCCTGATTCCACGAGCGCTTTTTGTCGGCGAAATGCGAAATATTTCGCCTGTTTCTTTTGAATTGCGACCACTCGAATAAATTATTTCTACTTGATTGCTCACAATTCAAAAGAAACAGGCGAATTCGCATTTCGCTGACAAAAAGCGCTCGTGGAATCAGGGCTTAAGAAGGGAAGATATTTGTTAATATTGGGACAATATTTCCTGGCAGCTGCTGATGCATTTGTTGGCAATTATAGCCTATTAACTTGTGATGAATAATTGTCATCAAAATATAAATGTTATGAGACATATGAATCGTTTCCTCTCATCTGTTCGGTATGTAGAACCGCAGATAAAGGACCGAATTATTTGCGTGATAACTTAACTCGTGAATTGATTTTGGTTTTCCCATACCTTGCCTTATATGCGCATCAGAGGTGGAAACTGCGGGAGTGTATAGTATAGTTTCGAAGTTTGCTTTGGAATTTGGGTTCAATGGGAAATGTGTCTTGCAAAAATTATTATTCACCACGGCCTGGTTCACACTAGCAATTCTATCGGGGATTTTTCTCTTCCTGGCAAATCGATCAAATGAATGAAATGCAAAAGACTTAGAATTGTTTACTTCTGAAATGCGACTCTATACTTTTATGTACGAGTTCACTCATTTGCATCCGTCAGAAACACAAAATCGCCGACAAAATTGCTGGGGTGAACCAGGCTTACGCCCGTATTCTAAAAGCTCACTCACACTCACACTCAATGAGTGGAAGTTCAATCTGAGCTTCTCTCGAGTGTCATTGCTGTTTTTGAATAGCTGGAAGCTGAGCTTCTCTCGAGTGTCATAGCTGTTTTAGAATACGGGCGTTAATGCATGGAATGAACTTAGCTTCGTTACCATATATGCACCTATAGCTCTTCAATAGAATAGCTGTGTTATAACTAAAGCCCGGTTTATACACTATCAAAGTTTCTGTGATCACATGCAGTAGGAATTTTGCATCGGTATATTCGATAAGTTTTGAACGATTTGCCTGTATACGAAATGCTTGAGTGAACTGACTCAATGTTTAACTTTTGTCGGTTTCAAATCCCGACCCATCGTACTGATATACGATCATAAGGCCACATAAAATAAATTCCTTGATTCTCATCACTACACTTTGAAAATGTCGAAGAGGCGGGAGGTTTATATTTTATATTTATATAATTTTATATATATCAATAAATAAAAGTGTCACAAACTGAAATAAACATATTTCTCCACGAACAATGACTGGCCCTTGAACTGAATGCAAAGTTCCGTTAAAATGCAATGAAATTTCTTTCAAGGTTCTATTTGTTTGAAATTGGCAGTTTAAAATGGCACTAAAAACCTAATATAAAGTATAAAAAACTTAACTGTCTTGAAATATTTTGTCGGGCGGTACATTTATATTGTATAACAAAATATAAAAAAACTTCACGCGGTTCTTAAAATACAGTCGGGCGGTGATGAGAATCAAGTAATTTATTTTATGTGGCCTAACCCAGCTCTCTAAACGATCATTCTCGTTGATAAACTATAAATAAACATTCTTGGAGCCAGTTAAATGATAACGAACTTATAATTAAATGTTACAGGCAGCCTTTTGAATCTTTGAATGCTGACCCGAAAGATAAACGAGCTAAACCGCAGAGTGGTTGCGGTATTTGTTTACACTAAATAAGAAACTGGTATAGGGAAACAGGTTTCAAGGCGGACGCCTCTGCATGCATGCATGGTTGTGATCAGACAACACAGCTAATGTCGATAACAGGTAACTGGTCTATAACTAGTCATCCGTGCTCTTTTTCGCTATTTTTCTAATTTGTGATTCGTTACGCTTCTATAGTAATGCCTTCGATATATATTTCTTTTTCGCGCATGTTCGGTTGTTACATTGCATGATTTTGCCTACAAAGGCGTTCCGCAAGTTTCGTTTGTTCTATATTAACACGGAAATGAATACACACACACTGTATTTTTCCTTGCCCACGCATATTTTGTACTTTATATACGTCAATAGCATTGCCTATTC